AACAGACTTTAGTCTTGGTCCAGAAGTATTAAGAGTTTTAGGTCTTTATTTATGGAAGGTCATTCTTAGCTGAAACTGGCCATAAAGGATTTACGCTTGTTATTAAAGGGGGCTGGTAAACATCTTGTCACAAGATTAAAGAGCATCATTTCAACCACACTGTCTAGACCATTTGACAAAAACGCAGAGGAGAAAAGGCCACAGCCTAGTTTATGTACATGTCAATCTTATAAAATAAACAAAAACAAACTAAAATGTGTGTCTAGTTTCAGGCAAGATGTGAATTGCAGTTACCAGAGCTATGCTCAAGGATGAGACTCAACAGAAAAAAAAGTAAAAATATTAACAGTGGCTGGGGCATCAAGTTCTCGGATACTCATAACAACTCAAGGGGGAGCTGTGAGTTCTCAAGGAGATCTTTTGTCTTCAGTTACAGGATGATGTTCTATACATCTTTTACAGGAAAATAGTTTCAAAAGCATAAATGCTGGCCATTTAAGGATTGAAAAATCAAGAAGAATGTTGTATACTGTTGCAAATGAATAGTAATACAAAAGGACCTGCTGAGACTTGTCACATGCACCAAAAATGCTGTGAAAGACTCTGTATTTTTCCTGGGAAAGTTATTAAAAAGTTTTAGTTTGTTCACTTACCTTACTTTTGTGGGGGGAAAAAACCCTGAACCATACTGAAGCATTCTTCCAAGAATATTACTCTTTTTTGCCTCAGGTGGCCTTCCTAGACCTTCCTAGAAAACACTACAGCTAAACAGGCAATCTTGAACATCATATTTGATCTCACTATAGGAACTGTACCTGGAACAGTTTTGTCTTACAGCAGATGCAGTTCACTGGGCAAAGGTTTAAGCTGTTTGGGTTTCCATATGTACCTGCTACATCCTACTATTCCTCATTTAATGGGATGATAGTATGTTTTCAAAGCAATAAAGTGGAGTCAGATACCACTCCATGTTTAGTGTTGTTACATTTCAGAATGGATCCAGTAGTGCCTGGATTTTCCACTGATTACTTTTTTCCTAAAAGAAAATGTGCTGTTAGAAACCAGTATCAGAGTAACCACAGACATGTAAAGATAGTTACATCTGTAAGATGTAGAGTTAGATAAGGTAAAACAAAACCTTTAAATTATGTGGTCTGTCTGGTAGGGTACTCTGAGAATATCAAAGGGGCACTCTGCTTATTGTTCTTGGGAAGCAGTGATATCGTTAGCAGTGTGGTCATCCCAAAGGAATTCATGCTTCTGACAGATGGGTGACATCCCCTTACAGGAGGGAAAGAAGGGATGCTGTATTGGCTCTTTTTTCCATGGATATCTCACACAGGTGGTAACTGTACCATATTGAGACAACTGAGCCCCAGAGGACAGCAGCACAACAAGAACTGTTACACTTTCTCCTTCCTAACAACAGCAGTGTGATGTGCAAATCGACACAACTTCACAAGACATCTCAGAGACTCTACATTCACAGCACATTTTAGTTAGCACCAGTGATGTTTTTAAAATTACACATTATGTTAATTTTCACTGTTAATTCTTGCTTGTGTTATGTTTGGCTAGGAAAGGAAAATATATGTGGGACTGTGCTTTTGAGCTTCTGCCCGGGGCCATCTGGAACAGGTTATTGCATCGTTCATGTTATGAGATGGCAATTACAGTTCAGACACTGAATGAAGCAGACCTCAGCTGATAGCGTAAGGCAGTCCATCTTTGAAAAAGGAGAGGGAACCCTCCCGAAGCACCAAGAGTATGTAATTGGGATTCTGTGCTGGGAGGTGGAAGAATCAAGCCCTACTCTTTTTCAGGCCAAATTAGGGTTTGAGACCAAGTTTCCCATGTACTTAGTGCTATTCATGAGGCAGTAGGGTGAGATGTGTGTAGTTCAAATCACTGCCTGTCATGTGTCATATCAACGTGTGACAATATCAAAAGATTGCTTATTTGGCAGTCTCCAAGAACACTTAGCTCAATCTCCATAGTCAGGCAAAAACCCAGCTTGTGAATCTGACGGAGCTTAGGTGCTATCAAAATACAATTGTTCCTGCAAATGCCCAGCATTTGTGCTCTAAGTATTTTACCAGTTTTGCTGGTAGAAGATTTGATTCCATAAGGTTTGGTAGGAGCAAGATGGATGTTTTAAGCATCTAAAGCTTGGACATAGGCCCTTAAAGTGTCAGTTATTGGCAAAGCCCTTCAGTGAATTCAGGTCTGTATGGCTGTGTAAAAGATGTCCAAGACTTGTCACTTCCAATGAGTTTGGGCTCGCACGCCTATCACCATGCAGAGCTGTGTGATTTGACTCTGCTCCCGCAGTTTGACAATGTCCCTGAGAATGTTCAGAGAAGGTGAACTTTAAAATATGACAAGAACATCTAAGAAAGGTGTTTGGCAGATACAGTTCTGGAGAAGTGTAAGTATAATTTCAGATAGAATTTAAAAAGGAGACAAAGTGTTGTAAAAGTTAGTAGATGAGGACTTGTTTTTGTGACGCAGACTCTTTGTTCAGGAGTGCTGAGTGTAGTTAACACTTACTGAGTTCCCTGACCAAAATACAGCCTTTGTCTTAGCATTCAGAAGCTGTTAGATTATGTTCTCCAGTGCTGAGGGTCCCTGCTAACCGACTGTTGTGCATTATCTGCAGGAGCATGGCGTAATTCATACATTCAGTCATCTCATCCAAGGATGGTAGAGTTACGCGACAGAGCTTGCACCCCTTATAATTACATATTACACAGTTTTCAAGGCTCAAACATAATTAGAGCTATAGTTTCAACCCTAGCTATGCACAAAGCAAACTTGTAAGAACATACTCAGTTACTTAACAGAGCCCCATTTTTTATTGTGGATGGTTCTGCACCTCCTCATGAAGACAAAGAAAACATCAAGGTAATCTAAATAAACTAGTGGTTTTTATAACATGGGGGGATAGTTGATGCCATTGAAGTGAGAGTGCTGCTAGACCTGAAGTTTAGCCACCGTCCTAAGCATAAATAGTGAAGGTGCCAGCAGATGGTGTTGAAACGTATGTTGACTTGCCCATGTTTTTATAGGGTGAACAAAAGAGTTTTTATGTACCAGAAACATCTTCCTTTATGCAACTCTTTATGTCAAAGAGGGTTGTGAGAAGGGTGTGGCTGCATCTCATTATTTTGTGGCTGATGGTAGTTACAGAAAGGTGCTGCAGAAATTCCACTTAGCCATAACATCAAATCCTTTTATTTAGGAAAAAAAAAGTCACCACACTGTAAACTAGCCCAAGCTGTGGTTTGGTACACTTTTTATATGCTGGTTTTTATCCACTCCAGCTGTCAGACGGAGACAGGAAAAATCAAAACACTTGTACAGTATTCCTTCATAAAGGAGCCCCTTAGGTGGTCAGGTCTAGATTCACCTCCCGCCTCAGGCGCTGGAGCATCTCTGCCAGTTGGCTGATGAACCAGAACTCTTTAGTCTGAGGCAATTCTTTGGGAGCAGACTGGTGCTGCACTCATACGGTGATTCTGGCACATGTACAATGATTTTGTCATGTGATGGTGAGAAAAATTCAGTGGATCAGCAAGTGAAGTATCAACAAGTATATGAAGCAAGCTCTTCGTCCACACAAATGGATGCTCAGAGCAACTGCTTTGCTGTAGAGCAGTTTCTCACAGTTTCAGTAGATCTTCACACACCTAATGTACAGTAAGCACTGCTACTTTTAGGCTTGGTAGCTCTCCAGATCATTGAGTGTATTGAGAAACATGGAGTAATGAGAATACTAACGTTTTGCCACAATGAAAATTTGCCCAGTCTTTGCTTTCTATCTCTTGCCTGTTTTCTGACCCATGACAAAACTTTCATCTCATAACATGCCCAGCAATCTTCTTCAGAAGTCCCTTACGTGAGTTTTTGTTAAGCTTTTGGGAAGTCTATTTCAAATAACGTAATTGGTTCTTGTTTATCTGCAAATGTATTGACACTGTTTGAATAATTCTAGGAGCGTGTTTAATTTTCCATGTGATGCAAGTGATGTAAGCACAACACTGAGTGACAAACTGTCAGAAATGGCTCTGAGCGTCTGGCGCTGTCATTTTGGAAAAGTAACTTGGACAATTACAGCCAGTTAATGAGGTACAGAGCTCTTGCGCTTGCATTGGCACCGATATGATTTGTGGGTGGTCAGCAATCCTGAAGCAGCTCAATCTTTGTATCTCAAGCTGCGTATCCATGCTTAGAGGCCAGTTTTATGAATATCTGTTACACCAACTCTGTTTCTCTATCTGTTACAGAGAGATGTATGATAGATTTTTATCATCAGACATTTCATGTTGCTTAGGAATAAAGGGTTTCCTCAAACGGAAGACTCAATAGCAAGTCGAAGTATTCATTTAATGTCTATGTCTGTATTTCATTTCAGTGTTCATCTTTGGGTCTAGCATAATCTTTGCAGCATCTGATTGCTTACCTCTCACATCTCAGAAATGTTCTGCTTGACCTACTAAAGCTCTGCCTGTGGCAAAGCTGCAAAACACCTGAAAAAGTACTTCATTTCCTTCCTCTTCAATCATAAGTGGAGATCTGCAAGATATGTCTTTCCTGAGAAATATTTAATTTCACAAACCACTCCCTTAAGCGTGGGGTCAGTTTAAAAAAGGCCAGTGTTTGTAGACAAAGCATTTGTTTTCCTTTGAGTGTTTAATTTGTTTATTCCTGTTTTCAGATAATCCCCAAGCAATATAGTTCCTGTAGCTGCGATTGTCATGAATTCAAGTTATTCACCTCCCAGAGGGTCAGAACTTTCATCAGTATGCCATTGGCACGAAGCAGCGAGTGTTGCATATTCATCGTCCGAGACACCGGCTAGAGGGCCTCCAAAAAGCCTGACTTTTTTTTTTGTTCTCAGAGCAAGGAAAACAATCTCTTCCCTTCTCCAGTCCCTTGATAAGGCTTTCTGTCCAATAACGGTGCTCTCTGCTCTGAGGCACATTTAACTGTGAAGTTTGCAGCAGGAGAGGCTTTCCTTCAAGCTGTTAGTGTTTTATCCTGGCAGGCTCCTCGAGGTTGTTGTGAGGAGTCTAGCCAGTTGGTGAGCTTTGTAATCTAAACCAGCTGTCCCAGGCTGAGGCCCCCATTTGCATTGTTTAACATACTTAGAAAATGAAGTGTTCATTTTTAACATTCCTCCTCCAATTGGTTTAATGCTGAATTACAGAAGAGAACTAAGCAAAACCAGGTGCTTTCTCTGTGTTCTCTCCAGTGTCTGAGGAGGTACAGACGGCTCCCGATCTTCTCCATTACTTGCTATTTCATTCTTTGGACTATAAATGACTGAGGAACTGAAGTGCTAGCAGAGGGTAATGTTTGGAAAAACTTTCTAGTTATTCATCAGCACAGACTCTGGTTTTTTTTCCACCTTTCCCCAACGGTTTTGGACATGCAAGGTTTAAAAAGGTAAGTGGTATGCATGAAACTTCTTTACTCACTGAAGGCAAACCTGCTTGTGGAAAATATCTGTGGCAGGGATTTGGTATGCCAATCCACTTGCTAAAGCCATTTGCAAAGAGACGGGATCTCAATGGTCAGAAGTGGGGAAAGACGATCTGTCTGTTATTAAAGCTGTGCTGTGTCTGACGAGTTCCTTCTTGATCCGTGCTTATACTCTGCACTTTAGGAACCCCGGCATCCGCAGCAGTGCTGAATTGCGACAGCAGACGATCCCACTGGCTACTGTGATTGATTTGAAGTTAATTAGTTACTATTGCAGAAGTTAATTACTAGTTTAAAATATTTTGCCTGCTGGGCAAGCTACTGCGACCAGCTGAATATAGTGTTGATAGGTTGTGCTGCATGTCTCTTAGTAATTCTTGAGGGGATTTGAGATCTAAAGTAACGAGCAAATTGAGATGGTGGTTGCAGACAGAACACTTACGAGGAGGTAAGGTCACCCCCCCACCAAGAGGAAAGAATATATCATCTTGTAACAACGGAAACTAAAGACCGTCTAGAAACATATGAGTTTTGTCTGACCAGTTTTATAGGGGATTTTGCTAGTGTGCACTGCTCTGCAGTAATGTAGAGCGTAGCCCAGTTGCTAGGTATCTTAACGTTCATCTATAACCTGTTGTATTTCCTTCTAGTGCTGTTCTTGCTATATGCAAAGTGAGTATGCACTTTTTATACCAGTGCATGCTTTAAAATCTCTTCAAAAAGATTTGAGGAATGAATAGATGAAGTGCAAACCTAAATGGATAACATTGTATTTTCAATGTTTTGCATCTGACTCTAAGGGAAAGTCTCTGCAGAATTTGCCTTTCCTTGTCACTCAAAAGCTGCCAACAAGCATGATCTGTCTCCGCAGCACTATGAACAACCGTTTTAGCATTTATGTTTACTTTTCAGAGCTTGTGCCTGTCTCCTCCTTTAAAAAAAATTCTTCAAATGTGTTGGTCACTGTTAGTGTGTGGTTTTGTCTGATGCATTTGTAGATCTTGTTCAACAGCTCAGTTTGCACTGGAAATTAGAGACAGCTCTAAGAGAGGAAGTTGGCAGCTCGCTTGGGTAGCAGAACTAAGGCTACCTAAAATATCCCTTGCTTCCTGTACTGGTTTTGTGGGAATGTATTGTATACAATTGCCATTCAGAACTAGAATCCAAGATAAGCAAGATGTGGGTCTAATTGTATTGAGAAGAAATTTTATACAAGGCAGTGGCAAAGCACTGAAATCCATAGTACATAGAAAAAAAAAATTCTTATTGTCCTTTCCTGGGTTTCTGTCTGTTAGTAAATACTTGAGGGTAGGAGTTGACCAGAATTTTCATGCTCCAGGTAAGGAGTTCCAAATACAGCCATCGAGCTCTGTTAGTGAGGGATCCTCTTCTCTCAGTTGCAGTGAAGAGACCCAGTAGGTCCCACTAGATGCTAAGATGATATAACTGGGGAACGCTCCATTGAAGATAGCAACATCTAGTAGCTGATGACCTGGCACAGTGTGTCTAGTTGCAGAGCAACGTATTACTCAAGACTGAGTAAAGGGACAGAATCTGGCCCTAAGAAAGTGGATTAATCTCAGATATGGTCTCCTGGGGATGAAATGTGGTTTAGCGGTTAGAGCAACAGGCTTGGATTCAGGACCTCCTGCATGACATGTCTGCAGCCCTGCCAATGCGTTGCACTGTGAGCTTAGGCAAGGCCTGTGCTCTGGTTTACCCATCTGTAAAATGTGCATAATGTGCAAGAAAAACTTTGACATTCTTAAAAGAAAGGTGTCAGAGAAGGGCAAAAATACTTTATTGAATATTATGCATTTGTTCATTAAGCAGCTGCTGCATGGGGTATCATAGAGAATAAATTAGTTAGTAGCCATGTTCAGTCTGATTCTGATCCCAGTTGCATAAAACCATAGCAAAATTAGTGACTCTGATATCTGAATCTGGCCCACAGTTTTATTACTCCCTTGCCAGAGGCCAAATTCACGTTAGGAAATCTCTGTGGAATATACTCTAGTGTCACTAGAAATTACTTTGTCTGTGTGTATTTAATTCTATATCGCGAGCCTGGATATCAGAAGGTTTTCAGCCTATTTTCTGTGCACATTACAGGATACTGACTGCTTTCACACTGGCCGCCTGCCTTTCAAGCCCTGGAAAAGCACAGGTGAGAGGTGCACACAGAGACCTATGTACTGTTTTGTACTGAAGTGCTATATGGCATGAGTCTCAACTGGCGAGCAGGTGACTAGGAAGCTCTGTGGTCTGGGGTTTACATGAAAAGGAAGCTGTGTGGTCTAAGGGTTTAGAGGGGAGAACCTGGAGCCAGCAGGATTCTGGAGTTGAATATGGACTGAGCTTATTGATTCATCCTTGCCAGCTCAGCAAAATATCCCTGTAGAAATGTGGACCTCCCTGAAAACCTGGTTCTGCCTCTGTACTGAACAATTCTGGAAAAGGAAATAAGAAAAGCCATCCCATGAGAGCAGGGACAGCTCAGTTCTGTGGTGGGGAACATCCACATTTGGAAAACTTATTCATATAAACAGGTATTTTCTGTGTATAACAGGATCTTTTCTTAAGACTGTTTAATTTCGGACTGTGATCCTGAATGACTGCATCCTAGTTTTCATTTTAATTTATGCCCGAAACCATTTTTGTTCAAGAGGCAGGGCTTTTGAGGGTGGGTGGAAGTAAAGCAGTCCAGTTCTTGAAATAACAGAAGCATTAGTTCTTTGTGTTCTTGGGCTCCAAGTGGACTTTAAATGAGGAAAAACAGTTCCCAAAGGCAAGTTAAGTTTGAATTCCTGGTTGATAATCCAGATATACTCAGTGTCCAGAGCTGTGTTTCTAAATACCTTTGCCAAAAGTCTCTGAAAGGTAGTTGTTTTTTTTCTATTACATTGAAAATTTCCTGCACATGGCATGCTTATTCATATTTTTGTGAACATTGGATCTGTATGGAAAATGCTTTTCATGCCCCTGGAGAATTTTTGAGATGTCTTTAAGGGTTTATTTTTATAATTTAAAAAATATTGTTTCCATTGCTATTTTTATAAAATCATCTTGTACCTTAAATTGATTTTGAAGTCTAAGGAAAAAGCAACCTGAAACTAAAATGACAGCAATAAATTATATCTGAAGATATTGAAACTGGTCATTTCAACAGTATTGGAATCTTTTCAGGAATAAAGTTCTGGAAAGTTCTTGAAACCAGTTCTACAGTAGTTTCAGTGTTTCTGAATCATCGTTTATGGTCCAAAAGAAAATAATTGTTTTAAAAACTATCTTAACTTTTTCTCCTAACCTAGGTGTAATGTATACACCATAGCACAGAAAAGAGAACAAAAAGTAGAGTATGTACATTCTTTAAAACATGAGACTGATTACACATTCTCCCATCAGAATATGTTGGCTTTCCGTAGCATGATACCAAAACATCTCAGAATGCCAAAATAATTGAAGGCAGAATTCCTTAATAGTTGTTCGACACTTCTAGTAGCGGTTTTGTGTAGTCATGTGTCCAAGTGGCAGGTGCAGTCCAAATAGTGCCATGTGTTTCACTTCGTGTCCCCTCCCTAGTTCCTGCAATGGCCCGCTTCCACTGACTTATCCATCTCACCCTTGTCTTCAATCTACAACTTACTACTTTTCCAAACATGAACCAAGTACTTTACCTTCCCACTGATTTCTTCCACGAAGTCCAAAAATAAGCGTCTTTATCATTTAACAAAAACAAAAAGGAAGAATCTTGAACACACTCCATCCCTCTGCCCTCTGGTTACTTCAGTGGTTCCTGTTTTCTGGATATCTCTTGCCTATACTATTCCTTAGTATAACCTATTAACTGGTAGGATCCTGTGCTTGTGAAAACTGATTGGCCCGTTGCTAAATAGCTGGAGGCCCAGTCAAAAACTAGGGAGACCAGGGAATCATTTTAATGGGTTTCGACACAATCATCACTAGGACTGTCACTGGTTTAGACCTGCTGAGGATCACTGATGAGGTGCTGAAGACTCCAGGTTGCAGACCTGATAAAGACTAGCACCATAGGATAGGAAGGAACAAGTAACCTTGCAAGCCTAGAACATGTGTCATGGAAAGATTTATGCTCTAAAAATCAAAAGGTTTGGTGTAAAGTAAAAGCCTTACTTTTATTAAGCTTGTTATGTTTTAACTATGGCTTCAATTCAGTCAGATGGCTAACATGTTGAGATGCGTACTGAATTGTCTATATGTGGCATTTTAGAGCCTGTTAGAGAAGTTAGATAGTACCTTTTAACTGAGCCCCCCTATTCTGGCAAAAAACAAGGCCCCGAAATAGAAGAATGTACTTCTGTGTTAACAACTGGTATGGAGCCCATCGCACGTTATGTTTTGGTTACCCCCTGGGAGACAACAGCCTGACACTGTCACCGCCTGAGGGAACTACCTTCTGAATTAAGGGGCTGGCATATGTGCTGGGGTCTCAGGTTCATGCCTTGCTGACTGTCCTTTGGGGAAGGGACTTTATTTTGGTGTACTGTGTAGTGTTGAACGATTGTACTAAGCGTAATAATCCAGATGAGTGTTTGACTCTGCAACCGTCTCATTTCACAGTCACTGAGTGTCCTTTGTTTTCTCATTTTAGCAACAATGCACTAATGGGTTTGACCTGGACCGTGCCTCTGGGCAGTGCTTAGGTAGGACTTGAATTAAATCAATACATTTAAATTTGGGTTCAGAAATCCTGACTTTATTGAGTTAACATTGTGCTGCTGTTAGCATGTTTTAGTTGAAAAGTCCTTGCTGTGTGACAAATATGTGTGTTTGTGTATATGTATACACAAAAATATACATATACGTATAAATGTGTGTGTGTATCTACATAGCACAAGTATATACCGATCTTTGACATTGTTGAGATCCTAATTGGCTGTCAGTGCCTCTCAAATAGCTGTGATGCATTGAGATGAGTTTGGGAGCTCAGTCCAGTTGCCAAATGTCTAGGGTTGTTTACCCTCCTCTTTCTCCTCCAGACTATTTACTATCTTTGTTGGCAGCCTCCACCTGGAGGCTCAGATAAAGTCTACCACTGCTGAGGGTTGAAACTCCAAGTAAATTTTTGAGGCTATACAGGAAAACATGCACTTTGCCCTATAGCATCTTTTTACCCATGACATTCAGTCTCCAGGGCAGCATCTTCTGCGTGCATTAAAGTCACTCAAACAGTAAGGGAAAAAAACAACAGGTGGCTTGCCCTGTCATAGCAACCTACTGCTTCTATACTCTGAGAACTAAGTGGATACTCAGTTTGGCTAGACCATTTGTATCTTTTTAAATTTAATTCAGCAACGATCTCAATCAGAGCGAGAAAGAGGCCTGAACCATGTCCCCAGATCTGAACATCCCAAACTTTTTCTGTGGGAGGGAGCTCAGGAGTTCCAAATCAGGATCCAAGTTTCACAGCTGGGCAAACCAAACCACCAGTGTTTGAATTCCTGATCTGCATGTTGTGGTTTGGACAGACCCTCTAGCAGGAACAGGCAGTAGCATGCTGCAGCCATGTGTAAATCAGTGTTTAAACTGAACATTTATAGAATAACAAAGCAGGCTTTCCCCTTTCCCTCTACCCTCTAATAGTGAAGTAAAACAAGTAGAACACAGGATATGTTGAATATATGGGATGCTTCCTGTTTTAGTATGATCTAACTTCAAAGTGAGGCTCCACAAGGAAGACTTAGCTTTTCCGTTCAAAGAGAGTCTCAATTTTTTTAGCAAAGTCTTGAGAAAAACATGTTAACTATTTTTTTGATAGGTCCCATTAAGAAGCAATCGCTCATTTAACTTTTGCAATTTCCTTCCAGATATTGATGAATGTCGGACTATTCCTGAGGCCTGCAGAGGAGATATGGTGTGTGTCAACCAGAATGGTGGCTATTTATGTGTACCCCGAACAAACCCAGTGTATCGGTCACCATATTTGAATCCTTATTCAAATATTTATCCACCGCCCCCAGCACCAGGCCCTGTTCCTAACTACCCTACTGTTACACGACCTCTGATGTGTCGATTTGGTTACCAGTTGGATGAAAATAATCAGTGTGCTGGTAAGTAGTAGAAATCTTTAATCTGTGTTTTTATTTACATTAAAGCTTGTCCGACATTGGAGAAACAATTGTCCTCCAATTGTCCTTTAGTTATTGTATCACTCAAGCCCAGTCTTTTGAAGTTCAGTTACTTTTTTTTAAAGGATGTGAGCTCTATGTTTCATATAGTCATTACTCAATGCAAGCTAAGATAAGATTTAGTCTTATTATTTAATCAGGAAACCTACTTTTATGAGAGAAGTAATGCTTTTATGAGATAAACAACCATCTGATGGCAAGTGATTTGTCAGTGCATCAAAGGCATGCCTTTTATGCTTATGATTCTGTCCTTGAGAGAGAAGATAGATGCCCCTCCATTTGAAGCATTAGATGGGGACTGAGGGAACCTTCATTCAGTTCTTGGCAGTATGTGACCTTGTTCAGATTTCTGGACCTCGGTCTTCCTCCTTTGAATGGTATAAATAAGAGTTGTTTCCTCCCATGCTTTGCATTCTTCACTTGGACTGTGAGCCCTCTGGAGCACATAAGTTGCTTATCTAGAGGGTGGTACAAAACTGTTAGCACTACCATTGCTTTAATGACTATAGACTTCAGATGAGACTGGAACTCCCTTGTTTGAGGCACTGCGCAAACAGGCAAGGAAAGAATCGCTGTCCCAGCAGAGTTGACATTGTTTTAGCACCTTGATATTCCCCAGTCTCCAATACAAAAAACCAAATAACCCTACAAAAAATTTCTTGTGTGGGTAGTTTTTCTACTTTTGCACCTTATGCTAGATTCTGATTCCACTTACTTCATTTTATACTGTGTTTAACTTGGATATAAGCTGCTCCTGTGTTACTCAGATTTAAGGGAGATTTACATTATATCCCTTTGGCTTGCTTGCTTTTGATAATGTCATGTTTTGAAGGAATGAGGAGAAAATTTCTGAGGTAAATTAAAGTGAATTCCACTGGCCAAAATATTTATTTTGATGCCATACTTGGAATCAAGAGATCAGGATCAAACCAATCATTGGCAGCTGCTCAGGGTAAATGCTGGAGATGTAGCCCACAGGTCTACCTCAAAGTTAATCTATAACCACTACTTATTTCTGTGTCTCAGTTGTCCTAATTGTAAAGTGAGTTTTTTATCTGTTATTATATGTAGCTAATAGTCTGAAGGTTTTTATCAAAATCGTTTTTGAAATAAGACTGGTCTTTGACAAGAAAAAAGCCCAAACTACAGCAGATACGAGCTTTCAATAGAGAATTTTACCTGGCTGTAGACTAAAGAACTGCATTTAACTCAGAACATTTCTTTTTTGAATGCTGCTGCAGAACAACACAAGAGCTAAAACTGACTTGTCTTTTGGGCTGATTCTGCCCTATTGTCTGAAATTTCTGGCAGGACTTGGTTTCAGATGATGTACTTTGCTTCCCCAGTGAGGAGACCATGATGCTTCATGGGAGCTGTGACAGTCTAGATTTAAATTCAGCTACTCTGGGGCACATTTTTCTGTATTTGAATCATTGCTGTCATTATGTTCCAAGGTGGGAAAATCATATTTTCAACTAGTGCTAGTAGTAATACCTACTGGAAAATTTAAAAAGCTGTTTTTTTAATGAGGAGTTTTGAAATCCTGGGATAACTGGTGAGTTTGCTGTAAAAATAATCATGTATACTATCCAGTCCTTTGAAAATTACAACTAGTCCTTCTGATCTCAGCAAATTGATCAACCTCAGTTATTTTATCTACTGATTTGTAGACTTCCAGGAGTATTTTCATTTTGCTAGCTTTGATGTAGATGAATCAGGAAATGGGGCAGTTAGTGGAAAAGAAGTGCTGAAATCAAAGGGGAAATGAAAGCCCTATATTTTACTCTCTCTGGCCTGCTGCACGCAAACCAAACTAATCAAAACAGGTGGATTTTGGAACTTTTACAGTGGGCCTTCCAGCCTGCAAAGGGCATATATGTTCCTATCCAAGCTGGCAGAAATGTGAGGACTAATGCTTTCTTCAATCAGGGCTGTTCAGTTCTGTCACTTTAACTTTCAAATATGGGAATTAGTTGTGAGGGAAAGTTTGGTGAATAGAGACATTAACAAGAATAGATGGGAAAGGACCGACTGCCATTTGAGTACCACAGTTAGCTGGAAGCAGTTTTTGAAAGTCTGCATGAGGTTTGAATTTGGGCAGATGATGGATCATATTTGTGTTAGAGGAAGAAAAACAAAACTTAAAGAAAACAAGACCTGTCAGAGCGAGGGGGTCTCTGCTGGGGTTAGATTCCATTTTTCATTTAGTGAAATCCTCTGGAAATCCAATGGAGACATTCATTGTCTTGATGCAGTATTTATTTTTGTGTCTGTGTGCTGCAGGATGGAAAGTGTGAGCACCAGGGGAAGTGGTACGAGTACATGTCTCACTGCAGCGGTGGTAGGAAGGACTGATCCCCTGTTTCCAGGACTTCTGGTGCAGTTAACAGGGGTGATGTGCAGCCTCGTGCTTGATGGCCTTGGAGATGAGGCACCAGGGAACCTTGACAGGGTCCTCAGAAACCACCAAAATTTCATTCAGGTCATTCAAGAAAGTCTGAATTGCATGAGTCATGGCTCTGTCTTATTATAAGTTAATTATAAGCATTGCATCATGTTAATAGTATTTCTGTTGCTCTGTGCTTCCCTGCTTGTCAGCATTCAGCATGCTCTTAGGATACAAAGCCCTTCAAGGGTTAATTTTGTGGTGGAATGGTTGAAAATAGTAAACTGGAAGCTATTTTGCCCAGTAGCTAGGCCACTGTGTAACTTACAGGTTTGTTATGTTGGTGTTCTGGCACCACCTTCCAACACCTTCTTTCCAAATAAGATTAGTCACAGGTATTTCCATTAGAGATGATGAGACTTTTTGCTATTGACTTCAGGGGAACCAGAGCTATTCTAATGCCAATGTTTCTGAGAAATCTCCAATTTTTAACAGAGTACACATTTTTGTCTGGTCAGATATGGGTTTACAGGTCTGGGCCACATTTGCTCTAGCTAGGCCAACAGAAATCTTTACTTTCTCTTTGAATTCCAGTCAAAACAGCTTATTAAACACAGGAACCTTCCCTGGGAGATTTGCAGCCTCAGCTTTGAAGCGCTGAGCTTGTTCAAGAGACTTCCAAAGTGAAACAGGATAAAAATTTGATCTGAAAGCTGTATGAGACTTTACAAACCTTTTTTTTTTTTTTTAATCTCCCTGCTTTGCTATAGCTGACAGAGATGTAGGAAGGCTGTGAGAGGATCGCTCTGTCCCGGCCTGGCATCTGGCCTGCCTGCCAAGGCTCCACGTTCCCTGGTTCTCAGAGGAATGTGCACCCTGGTTGTTCACATAACATTCCCCCTTGTGGGGGCTGATATATTCCAACACAGCAAAAAAAGAAATATAAGCCACTCTTCTCCCTTTCAAGCTTTTCTGGCCTCATCCTTTCTGGCCTGGATGGTCATAGACAGGGGTTAGGCATCCATGTTCCTTCCCCATCCTGTTCACCACTCAAGTCTTAACAAGACTCTTATCTCCAGATCTTGTCCTTTATGAAAACAATATCTTTCCTGGCACGAGTGCCTCTCAATGACACCTGTCAGTGATCACTTTGCCCGCTCCAGTGTCCTCTGCGTGGTGCAGAAATAACTGTAGCCATTTGTGGCAACAGGCAGAGAAATACTTTGGTGAAAATTACTTTTTAATTCTTCTGTGGGTTTGATTCCTGATATGTGCTATTTTTACCCCTGGAGTTGCTGAATACTTTATATCTTGTATGTATAAATGTACTGTGTTTTGAACAGCACGAAGGCTGTGTAAACTCATTCCAAAGAAGGTTGGGAATGATTTATAACCACAATTAACGCTGGAATAAAAGACCACGTACGGGAAAAAGCAAAGAACATCTAGCACGAGCACTGCTTGAACTGTTTGTCTTCTAACACTACTTCTCTATAAACAGAATGGTTAGTCATAATAATGACTTTTTGTTCGAGGAACTTGGTCTAGTAACTGTTGGCAAGATTAAACTGGAGCGAGGGCCCATGTTCTTGCATTATATGTTCGTAAGCTGAGGCCTCTTTCCAA